GGGTTAGTGGTCGGTCCATACTAAACGAGCGGAGTCGGTTTGACACCAACGAACGCATGGCCAGCCTGGAGCACTTTTGAAATGCACGCCACGGGGATGTTGAAAAATGCACTTACAGTACGAATTGTGTGCCGACTGTTACTTCCACACACAGCCGCGGTGTTCTGAATCCCAGCGGGTGTTCATGCGCAAATACCTTGCAGAAGGAAGGAGAGAACACGAGTCGTCGTTCAAGGTCTATATGCGAACAAAATTCATCGCCACTAAAAGAGAGTCAAAAAAAAAGAATCATCAACCTGTATGGCCCATCCCGGAGTCTAAACGGAACTCTGCTTGATCTATCCATGGAACCAGTCTAAAACGATGCAGATGCGCGGCGGGCGCCACTGAGCCTTCCAATTGGGCGTCTTGACGCTCAGTGAGACAGGATATATGTACGTCCTGAACAGCAGGCAACATCGACTCCGAGCTGAAATAAACATTAAATTCGTACCGGTAACCGGACACGGACACGGAACATCAGCAGGCGGGACTTTCGCGAAGAGTGCGGCTTTGGTATACAGCGCGACGCACTCCAAGACTATCTGCGAATAAAACTCCACAGGGAACGAGAGGATGGTAAAAAAACAAAAGGAATTATTACCGAACGCCGGTCGTACAAGGCTCAGCCCCGAGTCGAACGAGAACTCTGCTTGATCTATCTCTACATCCAGTTCAAAACGATGCAGATGCGCGCCGTGCGCCACCGAGCCTTCCCTCATCATTTTGACGCTGAGCTGAGTGAGGTCGGATAGATGTCAGCTTATCTCTGAACAAAGAAGGTAAAACGACTTCGTACCTGACGCGGATGCAGGAGGGCGGGGGCGATGTTCGCATCCGAGTCGAGGAGCTCCTAGTTGAATCTGGCTCGGGCCCGGAGTTAATCTCTGTGCGACACAAATTCCACCGCTGTTAGAGTGGGAAAAAAAGCGGTTATCACTCTAAATTTATATAGGGCTCGGCCCCGAGTCGAACGGGAACTCTGCTTGAATATGGAACGCGGATGACTTATTGGATGCAGATACGCGCCGGGCGCCACCGAGCCTCTGAGTGAGGAAGGTCAGCTATAAGTTATATCAAGTTGACTCCGAACAAGAGCAGCGTGCGGGGACGATGTTTGAGTTCTTCTTCATGGATAGTGGAGAGAAAGAGTCCCCGTCCGCTCGATCCGTGTTGAGGTTGGTTTTGGGATTCATATTATGAATTCGCCCGCGATTTCCAGAGTAGTCTTAAATCACCCTGGGTCAAAGAATTCGGCGTTCAGTCTAAGTTAAGAGAGGAAAGTCAGGCGTACGAAAAAGAAACAGAAACGAAGGTGAAATCCGACCGTGTCGTGACGCCAGTCCCGGACGCCCGACTCGGATCCGATTGAGAGAATAGTGTTGCGCTCGCATGCATTCCGTTGGTGCAAGGACAGGCTTTGAATGAGCCTGAGAGACGGGATGGGGATAGGATGGGGAACGGACAGCGAATATACGAAGCAAGTAGAATTATAAAGAGAGGCCAGCTCGCGACGTTCAAAGTCGCAGTACGGAAGTCTGCCTAGTCAGGTCTCGTCGAAACTGAAGCAGCGGTGGATGCTTACGGGAGGGGGATTCCGTGTGCTCTGTGGGTGCGTGTCAAGTATGTATGGTTTACTTGTGGAGCGGAACGACCAGGGACACTGACGCACCAAGGACGTCGATAAGTTGCACACGTCGAGGATCTTCTTATTTTCGTACTCGACCGCTCATCGTCGACGCCGTCGACCTCCCGTTCCGCCACCAGACCCAAAGTCAAGCTTCAGTTACAGCTGTTTCCGAAAAGCTTGAGACAACGTGAAATTTTTTGCGCGCACCAAACTTTGATGGCAGGCTAAGGATTACCGGTTTGGGATGTCGAGCCGAGATTGCCGTCGCTTCCGTGTAATCCGTTTGCCGCCCAGATATTATTCCATGGGTGAGCTCCTCCCCTCGGGATACCCAGCTGAGGCTTTCTGAGAGTCTTATGAGCCTCATATGTAACTCACATGCCCCGGGAACACATTATTGACACTAAAATTGGACTTCGCTTGGTCCATCACGAAATGGGGCTGATTCGTGTGGGATCATCCGTGCCAAATCCGGTAATCCTTAGCCTGCCATCAAAATTCGTTGCGTGCAAAAAATTTCACGTTGTCTCAAGCTTTTCGGAAACAGCTGTAATCCCAAGGACGCACTGCTCGAAGAACGCCGCCCGTATCTTCCCTAGGGACTTCACGCTCTCCGTCCATCAGCTTCAGCTTTCAGTGGCTCAGATACCGTACTAGTAGAACATGCACGCGCACTCGCCGCCCGAATCATATCCCGTATCGTACGGTTACGGTGACGATCCCTAGTATCCGATTCTTGCCTGCAATCAAGCATCGCATCAGCAATATGACAAAAGTCTTGTGACCATTTGATCTTTTTGTCCTGTAAGAAAAAAAAAAGTTTGCAGAAATGCTCTTTAGAATCGAAAGGGATAGGTCTAATTTTTTTTTTTGGGACGTCTGGTGGGATTTTTGACCTAGCCTGTGGTCTGGTGATCTGGCGGTCTTTTTCGACCTGTACAGTCCTGTACAGGACGTTACAGGACGTCACAGGACACTTGTCAAAATCGCGATGCGATCTCGTATTATCCGTCCATGGGAATCCGAACACGGTTGAGCGCGGGGCGCGAGCCGAAGAGAGATGGTAGGGGAGGCGCTGGTCGCTAGGGTGGTTGTCGAAGTACCTTAGCCAGTAGTTCCGAGTATGTATCGTTGGTCAGGTTACCTCTCCGTTGGCCTGAGGTGACCGTGACCACGTGATCGATCTCCTGCCAAATTTTATCCGCCGGTGACCTAGTCTCGTACACAGCCCCTCATGACATCCCAATTCGGGAACCCTGTCATGAGGGTCTGGGCTGTAACCAGCCAAACAACCATACATGGAGCTCTCAAACGAGGACCCCGGCTTTTTCGCCACTCAAGAGACCGGCGTTCACAGCCACCGACCAGGACCCCAGAACTTTGCGGCCTTCAGTAGATAGAAATGGGGTGACAGATAAATTTGAAAATATTCAAAGGAGTTCTAATGGTATATACCTCAACAATCTACTCCAAGGTTTTGTGCAAAATGGTTGATAATTGGTCGAACGAGACCGCAAAAAATGGCAAAATCAAGAGCTCCATGTACGGTTGTTTGGCTGGTTACAGCCCAGACCCTCATGACAGGGTTCCCGAATTGGGATGTCATGAGGGGCTGTGTACGAGACTACCGGTGACCCCGCCGATATACCTGCCTATTTAAGAAAAATTGCCTTAAGTAGAACCCTCGATTGAAGAGAACGAAGAGAATGAGGGTCCTGATCGAAAAATCCTCGATCGGGATTTCTTCGTTCTCTTCGTTCGAAGAGATTGATAATGTCACGCTGCCGGCTCGGCACGGAACAATCACTGCCACTGCCGAAAGTCAATTTAGCGCCGTTTTCCACCTTCAGCATAATAAATCGCAATTTTTTAAACACAGTCATGTAGATAATGTACTACTACACGTCTCCAATTTTTCTCAAAAGATAATCACGTAGACCTATGGGACAATGGATTAATTTCCGAGAACAATGGGTGGCCCGATCAACCTTCCTAAACGGGCCGGCACAGGCCGGAACCCCCTATACATCGTGTATTTAGGCTGTTGACCTCCGGATCGTTACCCGGAGGTCACCATCGGTCACCCGCGAGGTCACCAGCGGGTCCTGGTGACCCTACATATATTCTATGTAGTACGCGCACGATGGTGGTGGCGTAAGACGAAGCAGGGAATCAGATGGCATGATGGCTGTGTCCGGATAGAGCCGAGGGATGCCGAGGGAAGCCGAACCCAGCCAATGTAATGATTATTTTCTTTCCCGACGACGACGAGGGCGCGGGCCCCGGCCCGACGACGCAGTCTGTCGGAAACTCCACCGAGACTCGCGTACAACTCACTGGGCGGGCCTCAATCTCCGAAGGCCGTCAATTTCCAGTGTCTCGCCCAGCGAACTCCCGGCCCTCTCCGACATTCCGCCCTTGAGCCATCCTATGATCCGAACGAGAAAGACCAAGAGCAAGGCCCGTGAAGGCGTGGAGTGCCTCGGAGATCTGGAATTCGTTGACGTTTCCGGAAGGTATCCCGTTCAACTCGGGGCCGGGCTACTATGCGGCTGAATCGGTGGGTACATATCGAAATTTTTGCGCCGTCCAATTCGTTGACGCTCCTCTTACCCATTCTTGACGTGTATTCTAATCTATGGAGTTCTCCGCCGTTCAACTGCAGCATTAACTCTCGAACTCCATCCTTTCCAATTATCCCCTGACTAGTTGCAATTGGCCTCCGCCAACATTTGGCAGGTTCAGGCTCATCCTAACCCTCCTTCACTCGATTTTACATGGTTTTTGATTTGTATTTCACCGTCCACAGTCATAATGATCAATGGGAAATGAATCTCTCCTGATATTTTTAATCGCAAGTAACAAAAATCCATGATTACCTTGTCGCTCGGACGCCAGGAATCGAACACGGTTCTCTCCCGGATAAACACCATCACATCGCGAACCAAGATGTAGGTGCGTGTCCCATCCGCCATGCCCGATTTACCTTTTCCGTTTACTTCTGCATTAATCCGCGAGATCTCTAAAGTGTTAACGATGAGGACCTGTATAGTTTCACTCTTGATCCCTCCATAGTTTCCCCAGTGAGTTGGATCCATGTGAGAAAAAGATCAAGTACAGAAAGTTCAAGTCCGGCGCCCGGAATGGGTCTCTCCTGGATGACTCATATCAAACGATGCAATCACGTAGGAGTGTGTTCCATACACCACGCCCAGTGAAATAGCGAGCTGCGAGCCTTCGTATATCAACAAACAAACCGAACAAAGGGGGAAACAGTTCAAGGACTCGAAGCACTGAAGACTGATAAAAAAGGGGAGGGTAGAGTTCATACATCGGGTGCCAGGAATCGAACCTAGGTTTCTCTCAATCAAAGGAAGACGAAGCCCATGATGAAGGAGTGTGTTCCATACACTACACCCGATCAAATCCCGTTAGCTCCTTCAATGAATACTGGATGGCGATACATATTACGTAGTACTTCAGTCCAGGTGGCGATGAGGAAGGTGCTAGCATCCAGCCCGAGTTGGTTTCCCATATTGTTAAATATCGAAGTAAGCTATTAAATGTCAAGTAGCAGACAAGAGAAAGAAGAAATCACAGCAAACTTTGAAAGAACTCGATCCCGAATCGAATTGGTCTCTCTGTCAACCTCCAAGGGAGATGCACATCTTGCGTTCCCAGTCACCAAGCCCCATCCGGGTATCTAGAGCCTTGGATATGCTGTTGGAATATGGATGCTATATATACTTGTTTGTCGGAATTACAGAATCTCATTCGGTTGTCTTCTACGTGTTCGTGCCCGCTTTCGTCCTCTGCGTTTCACATATGCCCAGGTAGTTCCAAAAATGAGAACCTCTAACGGGACTTCGTGCACACATGGAAAAAGCAGAGCCCTTGAAGTCTATCTTCATACGCGAAGAAAAATCAGGGCCAGCGAGGCGATTCAACGTCCGGTCGCAAATCGGACGAGATCACTGCTTGAATCGATGATTTTCGCCCATACAACTGCAGAAGAGCGCCGGGCGCCACCGAGCGTTCCGTAGGAGTCTTGACGCTGGGTAATGGGGATATAGAACGGCCTTAGGGTACAGTACTGTAGATGTCAACTTATGTCCGAGTAAAAATAAACATCAAATTCGTACCGGACACGTCGACTGACGCAGACCAGCTCGAGTTCTCCAGAGCCAGATTCGAAGCTTTAAAGGGAATAAAAAATTCCTCCCATCGCACATTGCCCCGCCCCGAGATCTCTGCTTGAATCACTACATGGCGAAGGAAGAATGGAAATGCAGATGCGCGCCGCGCGCCACTGAGCCTTGCCTAGGCGTCTTGATGCTTGAGCTAGGGACAAATAAATTCGAAACGCACAAGGTACATGAAGAATTTATATCGAAGCACACGCCGCCTCAGAAACGTGATTACTTTTGGCGAGTTCGGGTTAGTTCTGGTGATTCAATCCAAGTTCGGGAGATTGAGGTGAATCGTCTGAAGATTTGCCTCTTTCCCGTGGGGAATGCCGCCGTTGGAACAAGAGAAGTACGGATCATCGAGAAGCTCTTGTGCAGTGCGTTTTTCCGGGTCGAGAGCCAGCATGCGCCGCATGAGTCTGACGAGGCCCGGAGGATCTCCACACCCAGGCGGGCAAAGAGCTCTTTCTTTCTATCCCAGAACTCCTCGGTCATCTCGGGGGCGAACCATGAGCACATTTGGTTTTGGAGTCGACTACTTTGCACGGAAAGCATGGTTGGGCAAGACATACCCATAGGCCAAGGTCGCGAATCGATATGATCGTGCCCTGCATCTGGAACCTCGCCACAGAAACACACCATGCATACAGCTTCTGGGGCTGGGGCTCACATCCCCACGTCCATTTCCGATTATCTACCGATGACTGCGCGGTAGTCGTTGTTCACGCTGATAGGCTGGATAATCAATCTCTTGAGCTTCTTCCTTCTAACCAATCCGCACTCAGTTGCACAGCGTCAAGAAGCACTCTATGTACATATCTATTTCTGGGGCCGCCGCGATCTCATTCACAGCCAGGCGCCAGCCGCGCCTTCTGCGGCCTCCAATCGATATTCGTGTGGGAGCAGAGTTCCTCTCCCAGACCCGGCGCGCATCATCCAATCATAATCCCCGTCTGGGTCCCAAGGCTCGTCGAGCAGCTCCCAGAGCTGCCGGTAGTTCGGCTGGTCCTCGAAACCCAACGAGTGGCAATGCTCGAACCACTTCGAGAACAGCGGGGCCGAGTCCGCCAAGGCGCGCAGCTTGACCTCCAAGTCTCCCTCACCTGCTTCCCACGGGAGCCGCCCTTTGTGGAGGTAGACGAGACAGTTCCCGAGCGCCTCGATGTCGTCCCGCCGGCTCTGTTCTGCTCCAAGATAAGTGAACGAGAAAACAGAAAAACGCGGTCCGTACCTTCGCCGCGATGGGCGCGGTGGCTTGCGAAAACCGGCGTCCCGATGTGTGCGAGGCCCTGGCGAGGAGGGATGTGCGTCATCCTCCTCGGGTCGACAAACAGTTTCGCCAGCCCAAAGTCAATCATGTAAATGCCCTCGTCCATTCCGACCGCGAAGTTCGCGGGCGTGACGTCCCGCAAGACGATCCCCCGCCAGTGTGCGTGAGCGATGGTGGTAAGCTAGGAGCGGCTCAAGTTAGGATCCCGCCACGCACAACTGCCTGGCCTACCATCTCCTGGGCGACGACGCAGACCGTCTGGATCGAAAGCGTTCCCCTGCAGAACCGGCGGAGCTCCTCAAGGGTGGGCCCCAGCAGGTCCAGCACGAGCACCCTTGCATCCCCCGCGCTTCCCGCCCAGTGCAACCGGGGGATACCTCCGTGAGGGGCGAGGCACCGATACACCTGTGCCTCGTAAGGGACCGTCATCAGCCGGCGAGCCTGCGCATTCTCCACTTTGACAGCCACCTGCTGGCCAGTCAAGACATGAATAGCCCTCCACACGGAGGCTACCATTTGCTCTGTCAGCAGGAAGAAAACGGCGGAAAGCGATGCGCACCGAAAGCCCCGAACCCTATCGGCTCCACGCATTGGTAATGACCCCCGACACGGAATAGGCGAAGGCCCCCGGGCTCCGTGCTCTCCGCCGCCCTCTCGTCCCGCGAGGAGCCTAGGAACGCGTGGAGATCCTGCAGCGTCTGCACAGCAACAGTCGCCTCCAACCCGGGCAGCCGGAAGTCCCCCTCGACTGCACCCGCGTTCAACACCAACGCGGTCGGGAAACCTGGCTGCCGCGCGTTGGCGGCTTCTACGACCCGATACAAGCTTCCGGTGACGATGAGCATCTCCGACTCTTGCAGTGCGGGCATCGCGAACGCCGTCTTCGCCCAGTCGAAGGCCTCCGCCAGGTTATCGGCGTGATCGCAGAGCGTCAGTGGCGCGGAGACGCCTGCCGTCGGGACCGGAAGCGACTCGGTGGAGCAAAACACGTCCGGCAGCTGGCACACTTGATAGCCCGACCTCTGCAAGTGCTCCACCGCATCCCTCGCATCGGCGTGCACCGGAGGAGACAGCATTTTCTCGGCCGCTTCCCAGATCGCCGTAGGGGACGTGTCCTCGCCGGCGACTCGCGCCAGCGCCGTGCGGAGGGTCGCCGCTGGGCTCGCACCCGGAGATTCCCGCGAGGTGAGGCATGCGGTTTCCAAGACCGCACTCAGATCAGTGCCCAGCCTCGATATCGCCGCTCTCGCAGCACCTGAAAAATCCTGGGTAGAGATCGCTCAAAAAACTTGACACGAGACAAAAGCACTTACGAAAAGAGTGTCCCGCGGGTCGAACAAGATCACCTTGATCTTACCGGCCGGAACTGGTGCCGTCGCCGCGGCGAGCGCCTCTTCCGGAACCGGAGGCGCCTGGTGCAGCATCCACCCGAAGCGCACCATATAGTCTTCGTCGTCGTCGTCGTTGTCGTCGTTGTCGTCGCTCGCCGCGACCTCCACGCCATTCACTGGCACTGTCATGTCGGCCAGCTCGATCGCCGCCGCCAATCCCCGGCTGCCCCCCTCGAAGTTTACGGCCGGCATCAGAGATGTTACTTGATGCTGGACAGTGGCAAGTCAATCGAGTGCATGCGCGAACAAAGTCCCCGCGCACCTTGCGGACACGACGCACCCAACGTATCGTCGCGTCGACCCCCCGCCAGCAAAAATCCGCAGCGATACTGAAATGCGTGAGCACGCTGGCAAAGGCCAGTGGCGAGCAGTACCTCTCGTATGCAGCCAGCTCCTCGTAGATGCGGCATCCACCGTCGGGAAGAAAGCCGTTCGGCGAGGTGAAAGTGAAGGAAAGCCCGTTAGGGGGCATCATTCTCTCCAACTTAGCTGGCAAGGTCCTTGTCGGATAGTGGACCGCATCTTCGACAACCCGCGCGCAGAAAGTGTGGTGGCTCCGAGGCTCTAGGCCTGGCGCGCCGACGACGCTTGCCCGACTGAGGAAAGGAATCGGGTAGTTGTGAACGTAGGTTGTGCGCTCCGCAGGACAGCCCGCTGTCAGGCTCAACATCTTGTCGATCCCGTTCAATGCAAAACGACGGTAGCCGGCTGGAGGCTTGCACTCCTCTGTATCAATGACAAAGAGGTTCCCCGCCAAGCTGAAGCTGCCTTTGATCATCAGCGCCAGGAAAGGTACCGTCTCCAGCTTGGCCGCCTGCTGTTCTCCATGATAGGACATCCATGCTGCTGATTCACTCGGAAGAAGACGTGCAACGACGACCTCAGAGGAGGTCATGGTCAGTGTACGTGGCAACGTACAGGACCAAATATGTCAAACGCATCAAAGGGCCTCGTGACCTCGGCAAACCGCGACCAGCGTTCAACTTCTAGTGCAGAGTGGAAGGATTTGCGGACTGCAATTCAAGAAGCTGCTCTTAACCTTCGAACAAATCAACGGCTCGCTGTCCATTTCACGCACATCATTGCCGAACTGTAACCGAAACCTTGATTCCGTAAGGGTATACTCACTGTTCGAAAGTCCCGTCCGCGCGATAATGTATGTTCTTTATTTGCAATTATTTCTGTTCTTTCATGCGGCGAAATTCGAAGGATGTTACGAGCTGCCTCGCTGCGCTCGATTTTTGCAGAAACGACAACGCTCTACTGCTACCACTGGCCCGAGGCATCTCCAATGTCCCGATGGAAATTAGTATCCCACGATTCCCGCCTCCCTCAGTAAAGACGATAAAGGTAGCGCTTAGAGGTTTTTCGGACCAGAAAGCCATCGTCATTCGCACACGCGGCCGTGATGTCTCGGTAACAAATCACTCTAACAGTCGCATTACAACGATGGCCAATGTGTGGATCTTTGATAATGTTCAACATTTCCACAAGCAACGCGATTTTCGAATTGGGAGGGAGAATAGCATGATTATTGGAATTGCCGGCACCTTTTCCCAGTTCCGCGTTGATC